CATTTTATAGGGGATGAACAATACATTCATATGACTCCTGATTAAAATTTCAAAATAACGTTAAGATTCTTTATTAAAAAAGTCAAATATCATAAAAAAGGTATTCTTTAAGTATTAAACTTCAATTATCTTGGAAATCTGACGTGCCAGAATTTGTTCGCTTGCGGCATCGTTTTCAGCATCCGAAAATCTATAAGAGACACGTCGTCCGGTCCAAAGTAATTTTTTGCTGTAAACTAGTGTTATCGACATCATTTAACAAGTTAGGTAATTTTGCATAATTGTATCCTATTTTTAGAACGAATGGTGAGATGTCATAAGAAAATCTCGACTAGTGGAATTGATTGTAAAGATTCGTACTGTAAATCATACGACCAATATTTATGAAATAATAGCAAAACGATTTTAATAAAAATTTCTTTCATGTCTCAATGTTGCATTTGTTTCACCTAAAAACTCTCATTTTTTCCTTTGCACTCTAAATTAAAACAATACGATATTTCATGATATTTGTTCAATGTTGCCGACAATGATACTTGAATTATATGATTTGTTTTTGATGTAATGTAATGCGAGGATAATTTGTTTACATTTATCCCTAGATTAAATTATTGTCACTGACATCGTTCTCTATTAATTTCTATATAAAAACTCGTGATACTTCTTCCGTTAGCGAAAGTTCTACCGCAATGGTCTTCGAGTAAACACGGATATTGTATATCCGTGTGATTTATCAATAACATCGCGTCGTTTAGAAAATAAGCCATCTTATAACTTGCTAGGGTGGACTTTAACACTGATACGAGCTGGTATTTTTTCGAAGTTCATCATTAATTTTAGTTAATAAACATAGTAGATTCAATCGATTGTTAAAAGTCATTGTGTGTTAAAAAAAAAATTATTCATATCAAAATCTTCCACTATAATTTTTCACGAGTAATATCTGCATCGAGTAATGCGATCATATATCGATCTCACACAGCACACAAACGTTGAAACAACAGTTTAGAAAATGTTGAATTACAACATTGCGAATGTTAAATCAACGTTTTCAAAATACAGATTTAACTTTGAAAGGACATTACGAAAACGTCTAATGTTGAAATACATGTTTCCCAAATCATTTACAAGATGTTGCAATTCAACATTGTTTATTATATGTTCATTTAACCCACACATAATATCTGTTAGATATCTATTTTATTTTTATAAAATTAGAACAAAAACAATTATAAAACATAAAAAAAAATAATTATTATAATTTGAATATGACCGCCTATGTGAATAATACATTTGACTTCAAGAGTGCCTTTCTGCGGTCACGGCTGGATTTTAGATGCATAACAAATTCTATATGAATTTTTTTAACTCAATGTACAGCCGTTATAAACTGCACGCCGATTAAATATTCGGCCTTGCAACGCAATTATTAGCTGAAGCTGAAATGGAAAAAACGGTGTTTTCAATGATTATTTCTCCTTTAAACTAATATTCAGATCTAACGATCAGCCATCCAAGCTACGACTGCCACCAATGTTGCTTAACTTCTGTGATCGGGAATTCAAACGCTTCGTGATGATCCATGACTGCTCGCTCGATGTTAATGGATACATATTCGTGATAGATCAAATCAATGAAGTCAAAAGTCATTCAGAAAGATATATCCTTCTATAAATGTTAACATATGTACAATAACATATGATTGATAATCAAAATGATTAACATCAATTTGTAAAGATTTAAATATTTGTAAATGAGCCTCATGGGGAGATTAAGTTAAAATTGCATGAGTTTCTATATACGTAAATTTGTTTACTTTTAACAAAATTAACCAAATTACTTGTTTATATTTTGAACATAAATCTAAAATTTTATAATACAATTAAAAAATACAATTCTTTATTTAATAAAAATTAGATATATATTGTACATTATATTATTTTCTTCAATATATTGTCTCTTATTAATTGTTTAAAAAAATAATAATTAGTTTTATGTAATTTTAACGTTGCAACAACATTAACAATTAATGTAAAAAATTTAACATAATTTCGACGTTGAAAAAGCATTCCTACTACAACATTCAATATTGCAATGTCTCAGCAACGTTTTTTCAACTTTCTGTGTTGTATGAGATGCTTTCATTTGACCGATCTTTGGAATTTTATGACACATCCATCAAAGAGTTTTTCTTGGGTCAGCAGGTAAAGAAAAAAACGGCGTAGCCTGAAGTTTGACATTCCTTTCGACAGCCGTTAAGATAACACATGTGTAGCGCGGGTAGTTGTAGTGCCGTGCTGAGAAGGGAGAGATATGACGTAATCGTTATGACGACGCTGTAGAATAAGCTACAAACCGTCGTGGCCAGCAGTCGAAAATCAACAGTTGTGTCGTACACGTCGAGTGTTTTCTCTCTTTATTATGGCGAACGCTTACATTTATATCCCACGTTTAAAATGTCACAAATATATTTCTGTTAACGAAATTGAAAACTTCGATGCGTCGCAGTTTGATAAAGATGTAACGCCGAATTTAATGTTTTCTTGGCGCCTGGAAGGAACATCGAATATGGAAAATATACAAATTTTGTCAATTATTTGTGAGTGAGCTTACTTCAAATTTCACGTTAATATTTTTTTATTTTGTTTAATTTATGTTCATTATTAACTTTATTACAGCCTCTGAAGATGAGTTGCAAGAGATCAATTGGCAAAAACGAGTGGCTGAAACAATTAGCAGAACTCTCTTCGAGAAACACGAGAGCAATAATGCCGCTGGCCAGGTAAACGATACTAATTCACCGGAGAAAGATCCATTGGCAGTTGCAGGGCACGAATATTCAGGCACAATCCCGGAGCGCGCAGACAACCGCTGCATGCAAGTGAGTAGGATGCTTCCTGAAATGAGATAGCAACATTTCTCGAGGAGACTCAAAGCTCGCCGACTGCATTATATTCAAATACTATATAAATATAGTATTCGAATATGATGCAGTCGGCAAGCTTTGAGTCTCCTCGAGAAATGAAAATTTAGAAATGAGAATTTATATTTATGGGTCGACGTAGAAAGATACTCATAACTGTTTTCGACAGAAAACACGTAAATGTAAATAGTAGTCGTAGGTCAACGCATGTTGATTTTACGTAAACATACGTCGTATCAATTGTTTTTGATGCCACAATGATACGACATACGTTTATATAAAATGTTGTGCGTTGACCTACGATTATATATGACTTACATATTTACACAGTTGGGAACGTTACCTTAAAAAAGTAACGCGTTACCGTTACCATTATTTTTCGTAAAAAGTAACTCGTTGCCGTTACTCGTTACTGATTTTAAAAAGTAACGCGTTACCGTTACCGTTACTTGAAAAGTAACGATTCGTTATTTTATCGTTACTTTTTTGTAATACTGAAATAAGTTTAATTAGATTTTAAATTTGTATTATTCGATAATTATTATTAAATGTAATAATAA